TACACAGACCTGATTTTAATTAAACATTTATACAAAACTGGTTCCAAGTAAACTTTTTACACAGAACAAATTTTAATTAAATGTTTATACAAAATTTATTCGAACTAAACTTTTCATACAAAGAAAAAACTGATTTTAATTAAACTTTTATACTAAATTGATTTTAATTAAACTTCCGCACGAAATTGCTTTTAATTAAGCTTCCACGCAAAAATTCGTTTGAGCGAAGTTTTCCCATAAAATTGATTTTAATTAATTCTTCGCGCAAAGTGATCTATTCGAGATCAGTTCTTCGCAACAAGCTCGTAGATCACGATATAAAGTCGCGAACGATGTTAGAGCATGCTTGCGGATCTTTTCGGTACGAATCGTAATAATGCTTTTTTTTCGTCTTTTTTTTTCTCTTTTTTTCGTGCGACCCGCGACTGAAAACTGAAATGGAAGTTCGGAGAAGTTTCACCCCGAGGCGCCGATGCCGGGCATTTTATTATACTTTTATTATATTTATGTATTTCTCGGAGGCGCGGGGAACCTCGGCGAAAAATATTTAACGGGTATCTTTACGAATTTCGTTAAGAGTTATCAAACATCAGCCGCGGGGGACACTGTAACAATGAGAAAAGTTACCGGCCTTCGAACTTCCAAAGCATCTTCCCGACAATGATACAACAAAGTCAATATCGTAACGGCGACGAGTTTGCTCCTGGCTCCTAACCTAGTTTCCTCGTTCGTCTATCCGCCAGGAATATACTCCGTGCACATTTAACCGGTTCTACACGCCCGAAACTGACTTCGGGCTGACGGGAATGGACTGACGCACACTTCTTAAATTGCTGACTATGTATAAACAACGTTTTACTGTTTTCTTTTTCTTTTGTTCAATTTAGGCGTTCATTCTGTTATACGTTTACATTGGAAGAAATTTTATTAAAAATTTTAGAGTTCATTAAATAGAATTGTAATACGAATTTTTTGAGCTGTAAATTTATATATGGAAAAGTATTGTTATATATTTTAGATTTAATTCAATAAAATTGTAATATAAATTTTATGAGCTCCAAATTTATATATATGGAAATATATTATTATACATTTTGGATTTAATTAAATCAAATTGTAATACGAAGTTTATGAGTTCTAAATTTATATATGACAAAATTTTATTATATATTTTAGATTTAATTCAATAAAATTATAATACAAATTTTATAAGCTCTAAATTTATATATGACAAAATTTTATTATATATTTTAGATTTAATTCAATAAAATTATAATACAAATTTTATAAGCTCTAAATTTATATATGACAAAATTTTATTATATATTTTAGATTTAATTCAATAAAATTATAATACAAATTTTATAAGCTCTAAATTTATATATGACAAAATTTTATTATATATTTTAGATTTAATTCAATAAAATTATAATACAAATTTTATAAGCTCTAAATTTATATATGACAAAATTTTATTATATATTTTAGATTTAATTCAATAAAATTATAATACAAATTTTATAAGCTCTAAATTTATATATGACAAAATTTTATTATATATTTTAGATTTAATTCAATAAAATTATAATACAAATTTTATAAGCTCTAAATTTATATATGACAAAATTTTATTATATATTTTAGATTTAATTCAATAAAATTATAATACAAATTTTATAAGCTCTAAATTTATATATGACAAAATTTTATTATATATTTTAGATTTAATTCAATAAAATTATAATACAAATTTTATAAGCTCTAAATTTATATATGACAAAATTTTATTATATATTTTAGATTTAATTCAATAAAATTATAATACAAATTTTATAAGCTCTAAATTTATATATGACAAAATTTTATTATATATTTTAGATTTAATTCAATAAAATTATAATACAAATTTTATAAGCTCTAAATTTATATATGACAAAATTTTATTATATATTTTAGATTTAATTCAATAAAATTATAATACAAATTTTATAAGCTCTAAATTTATATATGACAAAATTTTATTATATATTTTAGATTTAATTCAATAAAATTATAATACAAATTTTATAAGCTCTAAATTTATATATGACAAAATTTTATTATATATTTTAGATTTAATTCAATAAAATTATAATACAAATTTTATAAGCTCTAAATTTATATATGACAAAATTTTATTATATATTTTAGATTTAATTAAACGATATTATAATATAAATTTTACGATTTATATATGGAAACATATTATTATAAATTTTTGATCTAATTCAATAAAATTGTAATACAAATTTTATGAGTTATAAATTTATATATGGAAGAAAGTATTATTATACATTCTTGATTTAATTCAACAAAATTATAATACAAATTTTATGAGTTCTACATACGACAACATTTTATTTATTATTTGTACATTTTAATGAAATCAAATCATGACACAAATTTCATATGTTCTACGTTTATATATATCACCAAATTTTATTATTTATTTTAGATTTACTTCGATAAAATTATGATACAAATTTTATCGACGTTTTCGCGTCTTCGGTGACTCAGTTTCTCCAACGCGTCCCTCAGTTTTCGAATTTCTCGATCAGAAGGTTCACTGCACGCCGACAGCCGAGCGGCGTTCGCATATCGAATTTGTTATCGGCTGCAGTGATTGGAATAATCGGCAGGCGAAAGGTCGTGTAGACATGGATCGTTGAAACTGTATCGGGCCGATATCAAATTCGCCGTCGGCGAATCGAAACGAACGCCGATGTTTTTCGCATTGGATATCGTTATCATTGTTTACATCCCCGCAGCTTCGTAACCGAAGCAACGACCATTTTGTTTCGATGTCGGTCGATTAAGACGCGAACACAATAAATTCTCCCTAATTTTCCTTCAACTTAGAAACAAAAATGGACGATTTGCCTCGCACAGGGAAATTCACAGCGACCCGAAATTTGGCAATTCCGGGAATAATTAGTGTATCGCAGTAATTTCGCGCTCAGACTGCGCACAAAAATGGATAATTTGGGAAGAGAAGATGCGATTGTTTGAACCTCGCGGCTCGTTTTCATAGTTACCGATTGTCAACAATTATAAAAACGAGACGCAAGACTCGAATAAACAATAAAGTATCTCCTCTTCCCAAAAAGCTTTCGCTTGATTTTTTAATTACGAAGGAAATGGCATGGCGAGGGGTTAAGAAGGCGAAAGTGGACGGTGGATGCGCCTGGAGTATAATGATAATATTGAACGAAACAGAGAAAACAACGCGACGCGACGGTAGAATTCTCGATTCGAGGGCGATGGGGTTACGTACGAATTTCTTGATTGATCTCGGTCCGAGATCAATCCGATCGGTCTTGTGTACACGGCCGGTTCTGTAGCCTCGAATATGTGTCAATTGTTGACACTCGAGGCATATGGAGAACGGGATTTATCGTTTTTCGATATTTCATTACGCGGAAGCGGCCGCGGCCGCGGCATCGGCGACGGATCGGCGAACGGTATTTAATGTTTGCCCTGCAGGCTATTTGCGCCATCGCATCATCCTCGAGGGCAGGTTGAGAAGATCCCAGTCGGCCACTCGACCCCAAATTTACTCTATGCCGGGCTAATTTTCGAGGAGCCGCCTGTGAACGAAACACGGTAATTTCTCCCAGAGATGTTCGGAGGGTCGGAATCGAGACCAGCAGATCCGAGAATACTAAGCCGCGATTCTTCGGGCCTCGCGGCTCGTTTTTATAGAAACTCGGGGCGGTCGGCGAAAAAAGACAGCGGCCAGCATGCCGGTGCACGTTAACGCTTTAGCGGACGCCGACGCAACGGTTGTGCCATGGCGCAAACTGACGTTAACGGCCGCTGGTGCAACACGCGTATCACGCGCAGTGTATTCGGGAAAAGTCGCTACGCGAGGAGTGGCGGCAGGCGACGCACTTGCGAGAGTCCCGCGTAGCGGTGCGGCGCGTCTACAGGGTGGCACCTATATCGTATCGTATTGTACTCGCAGCTCCGCGTCGCGTCGCGTCGCCGTCGTAGTTCAGAATTACAATGCTCGCCCGGTAGACGCGCCGCGCCGCTGCGCGGGACTCCCTGCGCACGCGTCGCCGCCCCACTCCTCACGTAGCAATTTTTCCTGACTACACTGATCGCGCGCCGTTCGGCACCGGTATCGGTGGCACAAACTACTAGTTATTTCCGATTCGACTGCGAACGAGTGCGAAATCGCAATTTACCTTGACGATACAATAATGCATTTCTGGGAGATATTAGTTTATTAGTATTAGTTTTGTATTTGATTTAATCATAGAATTATTTAGATTTGCAAGGCATTAAGAAGTCTTGCAGACTGTAAAGTTATATTTCGGAGGCAATTCGGAGGCCACGTGACACTATTCGACGGGCACGTACATAGTACAGTAAATTCTCCCTAATTTATCTTCAATTTTTAAACAAAAGAAAGGACAATTTGGGAAGAGGCGATAGTATTATTCGAACTCCGGAATTTCACGTCGCGACCCTTAGCATCGACGTGGCAATAAATTGCATAGGCGTAGGACTAGCGCAGGGAAATTCGCAGCAACCCGGAATTTGGAATTTCCGGGAGAAATTGCGGTATTCGGATTATGCAGCTTATCGTGCTCGAGATAGAATCTGTGCGACCATCCGTCGTGTGCCCGGTCTTTGATCCGTGATCAAACAACCGGCCGGAGATCTTATCCGGCTGGTTTACCTCGCCAATTTCTAACCGTCGATTTAGGGTAGTGGAGAGCCAGTTGCTGTGGCGTAGTCAATAACTCTGCCTTTAGTTTGTTAGCATAATGTATAGCATAATTAATTCTCGTATTTATCGAATAGGATGTATTCATTTTTTTTATATTGAAATTTGATTAATTATTGATTGGTTAAAATTCAACTCGTATAAGACCGGAGTTCTTAAAGTACCGCAGAAATTATTTCAATTTCTTTTTTATAGTGTATTCTTTATAATATTCTTATACTATAAATTCTTAAATATAATATTCTTTTTATAATAATGTTCTTTTTTAAATTTTCCGAATTTAATCTTTATTGGCTATAAGGCTAGGATAAATTCTAATTTTATAACCGCGATGCCATTAAATTACTAAATTATGAAATTACGGTGATTTTTTTAGGTAGTTTCAGAGAATAGATTCAACTTGAGACGCGTACTTTAATCGAATAAATAATAATAATAAAGCATTGCGTTGTTTATTTCGAAAGTTCGAGGATCGATGATTTACAGTGATCTCGATAAATAAATAATAATAAATAATAATAAATTATTGTGCAGTTCAGTTCGAAAATTCGAGGGTCAATGATTTTCTGTGACTCTGATAAATAAATAATAATAAATAATAATAATACATTATTGTATAATCTAATTCGAAAGTTTAATGATCTTCTGTGATTTTCGGACACATGTTTCAGTCAAATAAATAATGATAAATTATCGCGCAGTTTAAATTGGAAAAAGTCTGATATTTTTCCGGGCTTTTCAGACGATAGTTTTACTTATTTAAGGAGCAAGCGTAAAGAGTACACGAATTCCAGAAGCGAGTTTGGTACTCCCGTCGGCTAAGATGGCGGACGGCACGGCGCTCGAAAGCTTTCGAGAGGCGAGAAGTGTATCGAACTTCCTTCCTTTCATCTTTGTCTTCAATCTGGGAAACAGAATATAGTCCGGGGAAGCCGGACGAGGCCGATGTAACGGGTAATCAAACCGGTACGGAAGTTTTCGGGGTCGACAAGCTTCATCCCCGAAGGTTTCATCTTTCATCCCCCCCGATAAGCCAGAAACAGGATTGTCGGACTCCGAATAACTATCTATGCGAGAGACCGAATTTCGACAATCATCCGAGGACGTATTAAACGATTATTAATCTCGCGATTATTAAGCTTTGTAAAATATTTTCGAACGTTTATCAATGTTTTTCAAGTATTTTTAACTGCCTGACAAAAATACGAAAAATAAATGTACGATAAAAAGTATTTAAGATCGTTTATTATTTTATTTATTATTATTCCGTTTTCAACATACATTTTAACGTACTTTTTGTTTTATAGGAAGCAGGAAAGTGTCGGGGAAAGGAACATCGAGAAATACGTTGGAATAAAAAGATATAAATAAAATGATAAATTAGCTTAAGTATACTTGGTTCGATTTTTATCAAAAAAAACTTTAACGTTTGAGAATTAAATTAATTTTATTGCGTTATTATATAATAATAACGCATATACAATAATAAAAAATGTGTCGTTAAATTATAATTGTATATTATACATATGATCTATATAATAATAATATAAATATAATGTATAATATATATAATATAAAATAATATAATAATAATATAAAAATATAATGTATAATATATATAATATAAAATAATATAATAATAATATAAAAATATATACAATAATATATATAATATATAATATATTATTGTATATATTTTTTATATTATTTTTATATTATTATTATATATTATTATATATAATTATAATATTATAATGCCCATATTATAATATTATCCCATCACTTTCCGAAATCCGTTCGTGGACGTCATGCTTCAGCGCTCGTTAGAACGTGCATTTATGGGGTTATTATGGGGTGTATTTATGGGGTTGCTCGCGTTCCGCAATGCATTCGGCGAAAGCGTAGCCTAATATAGACCCCTTAACGGACGACGACGTGCTCACGTGTCACCCGCGGCCTGAAAATCCTTCATTAAAATGCTACTCGCCGCTTATGCCAACTACATACAGAGATAACGGTTGCTCAACCAGCCCCGCGCGCGCGCGCGCGCCCCTATCGCCGCGCCGCCTCGGCGATATGCAAATGTGCGTCGAGGTTGCCCACATCCACGAGCATGGAACAATACGTTGTCTCTGCAACGTCGACGGCGCGGCGCCGCGGCCCTCTATTTCTTTGCTCATAGTTTTACGTCCAAGCTTCTGGGCACGGTAACGCGTCGAAAGTGACCTTAATGGGAAAAATATCGAGAGATTCCACGGGTCTCAGGAGTACATAGTTTCGTCTCAGCGAGTACATGGTTAAATATCAATAGTTTCAGCCTGAATTTCGAAGGTCACGGGTCACGGTGGCCCGCGATTCGACGGATCGGAAGGCGGAAAGGTTCGTAGGTCACGGGCTTGCAAAGTGCACGGCTCGTGGATTAGTAAAAATACAGCAATTTCTCCCGAAAATGTCAAAAATCTGAATGAAATTTGAAGCGAATCGTTGAATTTCTTTCGTCATAAAAGGTATAAATATTAATTTACAATCTAAATAATTCTAGAATTAAATCAAATACAATGCTAATACTAATAAACTAATTTCTCCCGGAAATGCAAAATTTCGGCTTGCTACGAATTTCCCTGTGCTAGTCCTACGCCTATGCAGTTTATTGCTACGCCAATGCTGAGGGTCGCGACGCGAATTCTTGCAAGACCAGTTAGGCCATCGTTTTTACTTTAGCATTACTATGTTACTATATTAATTACTACTAAATTAATTTAATCCCGGATCGAACTATTATTTTACAAATAAACAAAATTATTATTAAATTATAGTTTGCAAATCGGCGATCAATTGTCCAGTAAACTTCGCAAATATTGAAATTTTAGGTTTATTATTACATCGTCGAGGTAAATTGCGATTTCGCAGTCGTTCACAGTCGAATCGGAAATAACTAGTAGTTTGTGCCACCGATACCGGTGCCGAGCGGCGCGCGATCAGTGTATTCGGGAAAAATTGCTACGCGAGGAGTGGGGCGGCGACGCGTGTGGAGGGGTTCCCACGCAGCAGCGCGGCGCGTCTACCGGGCGAGCATTGTTATTCTGAACTACGACGGCGACGCGACGCGACGCGGAGTTGCGGGTACAATACGATACGATAGGTGCCACCCTGTAGACGCGTCGCGCTGCTGCGCGGGACTCTCGCGCGTGCGTCGCCTGCTCCCACTCCTCGCGTAGCGACTTTTCCTGAATACACTGCGCGTGATACGTGTGTCGCACCAGCGGCCGTTAACGTCAGTTTGCGCCACGTCTTTTTTCGCCGACCGCCCGGAGTTTCTATAAAAACGAGCCGCGATGTCCGAAGTATCGCGTCTTAGTATTCTCGGATCTGTCTGTTTCAATTTCGACCTCCGAACATCTCTGGGAGAAATTACTGTTCCTGCTCTTTAAAACAGAAATAGGCATCGAAGAAATTTCATCGAAGCAATGATAAAAAAAGGCGTCTCTATTCCTACGCCAATGACTTCACCGAATCGAGAATACGAGCGAATCGTATAAAATCGACGACACCGTTCACGTTTATAATTTCCTTCGAATTCTTGCGTTTCCATAGAGTTCTGCGGAGTGACAAAGTTATCAGGCAAGGGTTGGTAACTTACTTGCTCCTTCTCCTGCTGATTTCTCGGCCAGAGTGTCGCTGTTAAGTAGATGTCGCCGAGATGCTGTTTCGGCCTGGCCGGGTCCTTCAGCTCCAGCACGATGTCCTGCGGCTGGCCGAGCTCTAGCTGCGTTAGCTCTAGCTGCGCGGCGCCCATGAAGTCGTCCTGAAGACCCCAGTCATAGTCGAAGACCTGCCGAAATGACGAAATGTATTATTTTCAAAAGATTCAAAAAATTATAAAACGTCAATGTATTATTTTCGAAACAACGGTTGACGCGACTTCAAACGCTGGATATAAAACAATTAAAAGATTAAAAGAATTATAAAATGTAAGGGTATTATTTTCAAATAATCCAAAGAATATTAAAACGTCGACGTATTATTTTATTTTACTTAAAAGAATTTTCGAACGTTAATGTATCAATTTTCGAAAACACTGTTTACTGTGACTTTAAACGCTGGATATAAAAAAATTAAAAGATTCAAAGAATCATCACAAAATGTCAGAGAATTATTTTCAAATGATCCAAAGAATATTAAAACGCGTCAACGTATTACATCATATTAATTAAAAGAACGTTCAACACATCATGTATTAATTTTCAAAAACATTGTTTGCTGTGACTTTAAACATTGAATATAAAAAAAGAAAAGATTCAAAGAATCATCATAAAATGTCAGAAAATTATTTTCAAATGATCCAAAGAATATTAAAACGCGCGCGCGTCAACGTATTACATCATATTAATTAAAAGAACGTTCAACACATCATATATTAATTTTCAAAAACACCGTTTCACGCGACGTTTATAATTTATCGTTCATTCGAAAACACTTTGAAAATTGCGAACACGTTTTTCTTCCCGTTAAAAATTACGATTTAAATAGCCGATGGCCGGCGCTTTTCACGCGCGACGAGTATACTCGTCGCGACAGAAAATGCCGCTTTGCTCTTCCGCGACGAGTATGCTCGTCGAGCACGGGAGGAAGACCGGTCAAAGCGCAACCGCGTTTCTCTAATTGCGTCGCTCGAGCGACGAGAGCCTCTAAAGAATTGATCGTTGTCTCCGTGCCGAGAAAATTGCCGGCCTCGTTGTAGAACGATGCTGCAGGAAATATGTATATTAGTCGGCCGTTTATGCGTTAAGACACTCCGGGGCTAATGATTCATTAACGCGAGCGCCGAGGGCTCGAAAAAGGGGGCTGCTCTCTCGGAGACTGGCTGGAATCTCGAGGGGCGGAGCGACGCGGAGAGAACCGAGGCTTGTTAAATAAATGATTACGAAACGCCGAACGAGCGTCCGTCCGGCTTCTGTCGGCGGCGGCGGCGTCGGCGGCACGCGACACGAGCGCATGCGATTGCCGGGATTTTACCTTGATTGTCAGAGCTTGGAAAGGGTCTTCGATAGGCAAGGTCACGCTCTCGTCCCAAACTGGATTGAGGTCGCGGTGAACGGTCCGGGACTTGTGCAGCAATCGACCGGAGCATTTCACTTTCACGTACGGATCGCTGGCGCCTGGAACAGAAAGGTTCGCGTGAATCCGAAGAACAGTTCCGGGATAGTGCGCATAGAGTAATGTCTCCCTAACTGACGCAAAGATTGTCCACTAAAATGGACAGTGTTGGGAAGAGGAGATACGATTGTTCGAGCCGTGCATCATAACGTTGACATAACCTTGGCAATTCGTAACTATAAAAACGAGAGACATAAAAATTCAACTATAAAAATTCGAGAGACATCACTGTCTCCCTAATTGACGCTCAAATTGTCCACAACAATGGACAATTTGGAGAGAGCCTTGACATAACCTTGTCAATTCGTAACTGTAAAAATGAACCGCAAGACTCGAATAATCGTATCATCTCTTCCAAAAGTTGTCCATTTTTGTGGACAATCTGAGCGACAATTAGAGAGACATCACTGTACAGTAATGTCTCCCTAACTGACGCTCAGATTGTGCACGAAAATGGACAATTTTGGGAAGAGGAGATACGATTGTTCGAGCCTTGCATCATAACCTTGACATAACCTTGACAATTCGTAAAAATTCGAGAGACGTCAAGGCGGGAACAATCGTATCTCCTCTTCCATCACTGTAGAGTAATATCTCCCTAACTGACGCTAAGATTGCGCAGAAAAATGGACAATTTGAGCAGAGGAGATAACTTTGATGTCTCTCGAATTTTTATACTTTAATTTGTATGTCTATCGCTTTTATAGTTACGAATTGTCAAGGTTATGTCAACGTTATGATGCAGGGCTCGAACAATCATACCTACTCCTCCCATATTATCCATTTTTGTGCACAGTCTTAGCGTCAGTTAGGGAGATATTACTGTACAGTGATGTCTCTCTAATTGACGCTCAGATTGTCCACAAAAATGGACAATTTGGGGAGAGGAGATACGCTGTCTCTTATACACAGCTAGATGTGTATAAGAGACAGTTACTGTACAGTGATGTCTCTCTAATTGACGCTCAGATTGTCCACAAAAATGGACAATTTGGGGAGAGGAGATACGCTGTCTCTTATACACAGCTAGATGTGTATAAGAGACAGATATTATATATATTATATATATAATATATATAATATCTGTCTCTTATACACATCTAGATGTGTATAAGAGACAGTATGAATTGACCGACGACGATCTTCGCCGCCGTTCTCGGCCAATAGCGATCGAGAGCCGCGGCAGTTGGGTAGCTAAATAAATGTGGGGGTGGGGGGAATATTAGCGCAAAGGGACCTTCTTGTCGCGCGACGACTGTACGTTGTTCCGCGTACAGTAATGTCTCCCTAACTGGCGCTCAGATTCTGCACGAAGATGGACAATTTGGGGATAGAAGATTAGATTGTTCAAGCCTTGTATCATAACCTTAACAATTCCTGACTATAAAAACAAATTCCAAGGCTCTGAATAATCGATTCTCCTCTTCCAAAAAATTGTCAATGTTTGTGGACAATCTGAGCGTCAATTCGAGAGACATCACTGCATAGTAATGTCTCCCTAATTGACGTTCGGATCGTACACAAAAGTGGACAATTTGGTTAGAGGTGATACGATTGTTCGAGTCTTGCAGTTCGTTTTTATAGTTACGAATTGTCAAGGTTACGTCATTGAAAGTTATGTCATTCAAGGTTATGTCATCAAATTGTCCATAAAAATGGACAATTCTTGGAATAGGAGATACGATTATTCGAGCATTGTAGCTCATTTTTCTATAATTGTTGACAAATCCTAACTATAAAAACGAAGCGCAAGGCTTGAATAATCGAACCTCCTCTTCCAAAAAATTGTCAATGTTTGTGGACAATCTGAGCGTCAATTCGAGAGACATCACTATACAGTAATGTCTCCCTAATTGACGTTCGAATTGTGCACAAATGTGAACAATTTGGGAAGAGGAAATACGATTGTTCGAGCCTTGACATAACCTTGACAATTCGTAACTGTGAAAACGAACCGCAAGGCTCGAATAATCGCATCTCCTCTTCCAAGAATTGTCCATTTTTGTAAATAATTTGGGAAGATGAGATACGATTATTCGAGCCTTGCGGTTCGTTTTTACAGTTACGAATTGTCAAAATTATGTCATTCAAAGTTATGTTATTCAAGGTTATGCCATCAAATTGTCCACAAAAATGGACAATTCTTGGAATAGGAGATACGATTATTCGAGCATTGTAGCTCATTTTTTTATAATTGTTAACAATTCGTAACTATAAAAACGAAGCGTAAGGCTCGAATAATCGTATCTCCACTTTCAAAAAATTGTTCATTTTTGTGAACAATCGGAGCGTCAGTTAGAGAGACATCACTGTAATTCGAACGGAGATTATTTAAGCGCGAGAGTAGCAGTCGCTGTGTGATCCGAGGAGGCTCTCGCAGGCCTCGAGCGAAATTAAAACGTTCTCGAGGGACGTTCTCTCTATTTGATTCGCGGTACGATGCTTCATCCGACTGATCCTCTCTCGTTCGTTCGGCGGTCGAAGTATGTATGCATTGTATGTATGTATGTATGTATGTATGTATGTACGTATGTATGTATTATGTAATGATAGGTTCATCTCGGCACTGCGATGTGCCGTAAAATAATGAACGAATGGGGCGGATGCCTGCCGAGTGTTTTTTCAGCTGCGTGCGATCTGAGCTTATTGCTTGGATTTCTTGAAATCTTGTGGAGCCGAAAGATAGAGCGCGAGAAACTGAGAGAGAGAGCTGTGGAGAGAGAGAGGGGGGAGAGGGAAAGAGTAAGAGCAAGACAGCGAGCAAAGTAGAGTGATAGAGAGAAAAAGAGAGAGAGAGAGAGAATAAGAACGAGACAGCGATACAAAAATAGAATAAGAGAGAGATAGACAGCAAGAAAAAATAGAGTTAAAGAGAGAGAAATAGGGAGAGAGAGAGAGAGAGAGAGAGAGAGGGAGAGACAGACATCGAGAAAAAATAGAGTGAGAGAGAGAAAGAACGAGAGTGAAAGAGTAAGAGCGAGATAACCAGCAAAATAGCATAAAATAGAGAGGGAAAAAGGAGAGAAAAAGAGAGAGAGAGAGAGCGATCAAAGTACAGTAAGAGAGATCAAGATAGTGCTAAGATAACATAAGGGGAAGGGAAAGACATAAAACATAGGGAAAGATTTGTAAGGGTGGAAAAGCAAAACGAAACGATCGAGCAAACATTTCTACCATAGGGGAGACCGGAACTAGAAGTTCCGGGGGTAAATTGTTCCGACGGTACTATATTTCAAATAAAAAAGAATCCCGTCATGCTTTCAATTGTATTGAAAAAGCGTGGACCGATCACGGTTCACTCTGATCACGTCGTCAACCATTTTAGTAGCTTAGTTTCCCTAATTCGCACTCCGATTGCGCATAAAAATGGACAATTTGCGACGAAGCGAAACGATCGTCCGATTATTCTTGCGGCTCTTTTTTATTATAATTACCGATTGTCAACAACGTATCTGCTCTTCCCAAATAGACAGACCATTTCTGTGTACAATCTGAGCGCCAATTAGGGAGAATCTACTATATACTTCATGAAGCGAAACGAGCATTCCGTTTCAAACGATTCCGCAAATTCCGAAGGCGAGAGGAACGAAAAAGAAACGAGGGTGAGGCAGACAAAGAGAGACAGAGGGAGAGAGACAGCGAGAAAAATAGAGTAAGAGAGGGAAAGAGAGAGAGGGAGAGACAGCGAAAAAAATACAGTAAGAGAGAGGAAGAGAGAGAGAGAAAAAGAGAGAGAGAGAGAGTAAAAGAGAAAAAGAGAGAAAGAGAGAGTAAAAGCGAGACAGCAAGCAAAATAGATTAAAAGAGAGAAAGAAAGAGAGAGAGAGAGAGAGACAGCGAGAAAAATAGAGTAAGAGAAAGAAAGAGAGAGTAAGGGAAGGAGAGTGTGAGAGAGAGTAAGGGAAAGAGAGAGCAAGAGAGAGAAAGAATTAGAAAGAGAGAGAGAGAGTCAGAGAGAGAAAGAGTTAGAAAGAGAGAGAGACCGCGAGAAGAAATACAGTAAAAGAGAGAAGTGAGAGAAGAGAAAGAGAGTAAAAGAGAGAAAGAGAGAGAGAGAGTAAAAGAGAATAAGACAATAAGAGAGAGAGTAAAAGAGAGAAAGAGAGAGAGAGAGTAAAAGCGAGACAGCGAGTAAAATAGAGTAAAAGAGAGAGAGCGAGAGGGAGAATGAGAAGAAGAGAAAAGCCGATAACGGTGTAAATTCATCGGAAAGCAAAGGATTGAGAGAGAGAGGGAGAGAGAGAAAAAAAGCGACGAAAATATTCGCTCACCGCATCTATCCATAGCAACGAGGTTCGCTCCCCGTCTGATGTGCAAACGAAGCTGGAAAAACGCGTGCTGCCTCAACGCCAATTCCCTCCTCCGCGTGGCTTCCTCCTGAAGGAACACGTTCTCATCCTGGCCGATCGATCCAGGAGCCTCCTCGTTCTGCGTCTGGAAGCTCAAGGACCCTTTCGAGTGAGCCTCGCTGCTTTTTCCAGGGCTATCCTCCGGCTTCGTCACGACATTCTGCCTCCCGCGCACCAACGGCGACTCTGACAACAGAAAATCCCAATGATCTGTGAAACTGCTCTTCTTCTCCTTTATCCCCGTAACGGCGGAAGCGTCCTCGACAAGATAGAGAAGGCCGGCGCGCCGTATCAAATAACATCGTTTTTTATCGAACAAAAATTCCGCTGCGGACGGATCATCGTAGAACTTGGATTCGTTTCGTGAAAAAAACGAAAATCGTCCATGGATCTTCGTTATTTATTTGTAACATTCATTATTTATTTATAATAAATTTTGTAATATATTATTATATAATATATAATAATAAATATTGTAATAATGAATAGAACAAACTTTTATATAATAAATTTATAATTAAATTTCATTATTTCTTTATAATAAGTTTCATTATTTATTTATGATATTCATTATTTATAAATAAATTGATATAAATTTATAGAATAGTAATTTAATTAATTAGTTAATATAATAATAAATATAATAAAATTTTATATAATCAATTATTTATAATAAAAATTTCGTTATTTATTTATAATATTCATTATTTATAAATAAATTGATATCAATCGGTATATATTGGCATAAATTGATATAAATTTATAGAACATTAATTTAATTAATTAGTAAATATAATAACAAATATAATAAAATTTTATATAACAAATTATTTATAACAAATTTATAATAAATTTCGTTATTTATTTATGATATTCCTTATTTATAAATAAATTGGTATAAGTTGAAATAAATTGATAGAATATGAATTTAATTAATTTCAGATAGAGCTATCATTAATTACATTTTTTTAATACATCTATTTTTTAAC